TAGAGAGATGTTGAGGAAAGACCTGACTCTTATAAATGGAAAAGTTAGAAAAGACATGAATAAAATCCCTTAAGAAACCCTTCAACTCTAAAACCGATTTGTTCACCTGTGGGGTCAGACGTACCCTGTTAACCTGGGTCAGGATAAGGTTCTAGAGCCAGGTTCTCCTCTGCCCAAGGAGGCCTCAGCATGGATCAGTCTCTCTTATATCCTGAGTGAAAATAAAACATATTGCTAGAGTATCAACCCCCTCCACCATATCCCTGCCCCCCCACCTCCCAAAGCTGCTCCTTGACCTAGAGAAGAACAAAGCCACTCACAGCTCTAGCCATTCAAAACTAGGCACCACCTGCTTGATGCAGAGAAGCAGAAGGGTTCACTTAACAATGATCAGATCTGTGCAAGAACTACCACTGGAGGAAAGACAAGATGAAAGCAGAATTGCAACCCGAGGCTTGGGGTCAGATACTACAGCCAACTCAGTACCACATTCCAGTCCAGGGCCTGTGGTGGGTGCATTAATGTACAAACATTCCAGAGACTGCCTTCCTTGATGGGACCTCCTATATGAGAAATCAGCCACCAGCAAACACAAGGCTGTCCTATTAAGTGCCAAATGACTGATACACCCCATGTCAGAGAAAAAGAAATAATAACGGTAATATTTATTGAGCACTTGCTATGTATCAAAGCGCCATTTTAAGGTATTTAAAGGTATTTCATTTATTCAACTTGAAGGTATTTAGTTTCTCCAACAATCCAAGGGGTTGTATTAGTATTAGTCCCATTTGATGGAGAGAAATGTGAGACTCAAAGAGGTTGAAGAACTTGCTCGGTGTCTTCACACCTTTAATGGTAAATCCAGAAGTTGAACTTGAATCTTTGCTGTTTAGTTGGGCCATATCTAAAGTGGTGAGCGTGCTCACATTGTACAGTGATATAGAGCAGAGGGCTGGGACTGGCTGGCTGGGCTGGGGAGGAGCCACGGGAAACGAGGAAGGGAGGCCCGGGCAGGGAGAAGCCGCTCTCCCCGGCTGCCTGGGAGCTGCCCCGGGCTCCAGCGCTCCGTGTTGCTGCGGCCTCCACCATGAGCGGGGCCCCTGGTGGAGCACCCGCAGAGAGCGGAGACAAGTCCTTGGGGAGTGGGGAGCGCCCTCAGCAACTGTGGTCGGAGTCCTCGGATCGGCTCTTTTGAAAGGTTGCAGGGTCCGGATGCGCTCCGGGGTCCGGGTCCTGGGTCCCGGGAGAGGGTATCGGCAGGACCGGGAGTCGCTTGGATCACAGCGCCATCTTGTGGCCACTGACTGGCCTCTCGGCGCTTTCTGCTCTGCGGAGAGGCCACAGGGTTTCTACTCAGGGCTTGGGGCGCAGACCCCATCTGCGAGTGGGTTCTGTGAGCATTCTCCTGCGGTAGGGAGCCCAGAGGAGAAGAAGCATGGATGCTGGATCTCAGGTCAGGATCAGATTTACCTGGTTTAGGAAACTCTGTTCCCCCATGCCCTCCTGGCTTCTCACGGGATAGCTTAAAAGGAGCAATCATCCTCAGAGTGGGCAGGCCAGAGCCCTGCCCACTTGCTTAGAAGCATTCGTCCCTAAGCCTCTTTAGGCATCAATGTTCTTATCTGTGTGGAATATGCTGCAAATTCTCTAGAACAATACCTTCAAGTAATAGGAACTCAGCCACACATCGATGATGCATCATCATGGTCAGGAAATAGGACGGGCCTGTGGGCTGCTGAAATTCCTGCTTGGCAGATGGCAGGTGCCCTGGGAATATGGCAAACTACTAATGCCTTCTGAGCTGCAGTTCAACAGGGTGACAGTCCCAGTGCTAAATAGTTTTCTATTTTCATAAATGATAATACTCCAGCTGGTCTCACAAACCACAGAATAATTGCTGGCTGTTCCACCAACAGAGGAGAATGCTCCATTATCACCAGCAACCCTTGCCTGCCACTTCTGTCCTTCTTGGAACAAATCCCCCCAACACCTGGGAGGCATCAGTAAGGGGGAAAGGGCAGCAGTGCAGGACTGCACAGGCCTGGGGTTCCCTTACCAGGTGAGGAGCTGGGGGCAGCCACTCACTTCTCCATAGTCCATGTTTCTCTTCTGTAAATCAGGGACATTAACCTCACCTCCTTAGGCCGTTATAGAATTGATGAGGTTTTTCATGTAAAATGCTCTGCACAGTGGTTTTCGTGTGCATCTGCATAATTTGGTCACTTCTTCAAATACTAGTTGCTGGGCTTCACCCTGAGTTTCTGAATCAGTTCGTCTGGAGTGGAGCTGAAGGATTTGCATTTCTTTTTTTTTTTTTTTTAATATTTATTTTTAGTTCTCAGAGGACACAACATCTTTGTTGGTATGTGGTGCTGAGGATCGAACCCGGGCCACACGCATGTTAGGTGAGCGCGCTACCGCTTGAGCCACATTCCCAGCCCAGGATTTGCATTTCTAATTTGCATCTCAGGAGATGATGATATTGATACAATCTGTCCAGGGAGGAAATTTTGAGAAGAACTAATCTAGCACCTACTAGATTTTCAGCTAACATTTATTGTCATTCCCCAGCCACCCAAGTCAAAAAGAAAAAGGAGACTTTAGGGAATATATATCCCCAAATTCAGTCAAATGAAAGCTGCGAACCTAACATCCAGCCAGTCACACCAACTGTCCAATGTTAATAAATGTGAATTAAATGTCTTCTTTCCATTTCTTCTATACGCTGTATTGAACAGTGCTTCACTCCAACACACCATTAGACACTCATAACAATCTAGTGACATGTATAATGACCCCTAGATTACAAATGAGAAAGACACTTTCAGAAAAGTAAGTGACCCCAGGACCCAGGGCATAGACTCAGTTGGAGTCTCCTGACTGACTGGGGCCCTTTCAAGCTGCCTCTCAGATACTGAGCATGCTGTGGAGGCTGGTAGGTGCTGTGAATCAGCCTTGGGCCCTGCCCTCTGCAGGCTTCTGTCTTGACCAATTTCTTGTCTGAGCACATTCTCTTAACCCATTCAACTGGCTCTGGGGTCAACGACAGGCTGGTCTTTCCCTGCCAGGATCACTGAGTGCCTCTCTTCTCATCCAGGAGACACTTGGTCCTTTTAGAGCCTAGTTATATCCTGACCTCTAGCTGTTTGTCTGGGCCCCAAAGTCCACAGTAAAGGACAAGATTCTCAGGGTCTGGAATAGCATGAGGAGGCCCACCCTTCACAAGCAGATTTGACTCAGGCCCTCTAGACCTCAGAAGAATGCTCCCTTCCCCAACCCCGGCATGTAAGAGGCCACACAGAGACCCAGACTTAGCCATGCCTTAATGGTGAGCTAGAAGAAACTGCCTCCCTTCCTGCCCAGAGCTCACCTTCTGCCCTTCCTGGGTAGGGGGAGGGGAAGAACACTAACTCTGGGTGGGCTCTGAAACTCCAGAGTTCCCTTCCTTGGGTCCTTCCTTCAGACCCCAGATCTGTTTGGGTTTTTATGGTTGGTGGAACAAAAACAGGGCCTTTAGAGAAAAAAGACCAGATACGAAAAACCATACCATGTTTGGGCTACCAGAATATTTCATGATCTTTAGGAAGTCTTCTAACTCCTCTGTTACTTTCTTTATCAGCAAAATCCGCACAGGAGGACCTGCCTTCCAGACTGCTATTTGGCTTGAGTGACATCTATGTTTTAAAAATAGGTACACTCTTGAGCAGTGTCTTAGACCATTTGGGCTGCTAGAACAAAATACTACAGACTGTAGGCTTAGAAACAACAGAAAGTTATTCCTTATAGGTCTAGAGAATAGGAAATCCAAGATCATAATGCTGGCAGATTCAGAGTCTCGTGAGGACTGCCCTCTCCCTGTGACCTCACACGGTGAAGGCCTGAGGAGTCTCTGATCTGTTTTATAAGGGCATGGATTTCATTTCCTAATCTCCTCCACCTTCTCATACCACCAAGGTTAGGATTTCAACATACAGAGGGGAATAGACATTCATACCATAACAAAGTTTTTTTAAAACTCCATTTTCCTTCCTTTGACATTTACCAGGCAACTACTACTATGAACTTGTCCCTGGGGGTACCCAGGTGGGTAAGTCAAAGTCCCTAGGATAAGAGCTTCCACTCCATGCCTTGCCCTACTTGGACAGAGGAAGGCCGAAGACTGTCTGGTTTCGGGAGCTGGGACAGAAGGCGAGGCTGCTGGTCTAAGGGACGGGTGCCCAGTGTGTGAACTCTGCAGCCAGGGTGACTAAAACTTGCCCCATGCCAGCTGGGCTTGAGTCAGAGCTAATGGTTTTTGTAGCTTTGCCTTGGAGGTGCAGAGAGCCCCATGACTCACCGAGGTGCTGGCCAGAGAGGCTGGAGTCTCCTGCACCCAACAGCCTCCCTGATCTCAGCACCTTTCCTTATAGGTCCCTTCATTCTCCACTCTATAAACACTGGCCAGGAACCCAGGGTGTGCTGGGCTCTGGGAATAGAGGCCTGCAGGGACGGAAAAAAAGACTTGAAGGGGGAGAGACTTAAGAAGCGGTGCCCTCTGCCCACCTTCTGAGGTCTAGAGGGCTTGAGCCGACTCTGCTTGTGAAGGGTGGGCCTCCTCATGTATTCCAGACCCTGAGAGCCTTGTCCTTTGCTGTGGACTCTGGGGCCCAGGCAAACAGCTAGAGGTCAGGATATAACTCTAGGGCCTAAATGAAGTGGGAGGAGGGGAGAAAGGGCTTTCCTGCAAGTTCCCAAGACTCATTGCTCTTCTGGGACCACAGGAAAGAATAGTGAGGAAGTTCCTGAGGTTGGCCAGGCTGGACAAGGGTTCCTGAAGGGATGTGGGATGAAGGAGGAGGAGGCATCACCCTGGGGGACAGAGAGAGGGCTCCTCAGACAGAGCTGGCCTGCAGGGGAGAGCACTGAATTGGTTTTAAGTGTTTTTGTTTAGGAGATAAAAAGAGAATCAAGAAGCACAGGTTGGGGGGTTGGTGGATAAAAGTGAGGACTGGAAAAGTGTGGAAGGCCCCCGGGCCCCTTCCTCAGGCCTTTATTTCTCATTTCTTTGCCTCCACCTCCTGTCTCTTCTCCTCCATCATCTCCTCGAGGGTTCCCCTTCTCAGACTCTTGTCCAAAGCACCTGGGGAATAATTGAAAAGTACAGTTACCCCTGGACCTGTTTCTTCCACCTTCCATCCCACCTCTCTGTCCACTGTCCAGATTTTGTTGTGAAGTCCTGCCTCATGACTTACAACCCGAAAAGAAGTCCTGATGGGGGCGGGGAGCAGAGCCAGGGCTTAGAGGGTAGGAGGAGCAAGTGGTCTCCTTCACGCTCAGGGAAGGGTCACCCGGCACTGCCTAGAGAGTGAGCCACTGTGGTGGGTTGTCCACCCCAACTCGGAACCCTGCAGATCCTGTGGAATAGGGGAACTGCTCTGAGCGGTCTGCTGAAAGGCTGACGCGAGGTGACAATTTGGTGACTTGCCTAAGGATACTCAGCAAAGATTAGTGCTTCTCTGCCCTTTCTCCTTATCCAAAGTTCCTTGGGGGCAGTCCCAGCCACTCTAAAAGACCTACTTTGTCATCTCTGTATTACTTTGGGTTGTGTCACTTTCCTCTTTGGATACCTCCAGTGGTCATTACTACTACAATGACTATACACTGCTCTCTGGGTGCTCCAGATCCTCCACAGTATGACCTGACACACCTGGCTGCTCTCTTCTCTGGCCTCTCCCTCACCCTACTTTTCTTTCTGGAAGGGACATAACTGTCCCCACTACCCTCTTGCAAGAACAGACTTGCAGGGTCTACTCTGGATTAAAAAAAAAAAAATGTACTTGCTGCTGCCTTCAACCCACCTGGTCCTTTCTCCTCTGATTTCTCTTAATGTCAGCCCTCTCAAAAGGATCATTAAAAATCCACCTTAAGCCAGGTGCGGTGGCCCACGCCTGTAATCCCAGCACCTCGGGAGACTAAGACAGGAGGATCATGAGTTCAAAGCCAGTCTCAGCAACCTCGAGGTGCTAAGCAACTCAGTGAGACCCTGTCTCTAAATAAAATACAAAATAGGGCTGGGGATGTGGCTCAGTGGTCAAGTGACCCTGAGTTCTATCCCCAGTACCTTTCCCCCCAAAAAAAATTCACCTTAAAGATCATACGAGGAGTTTTGTCTCCCAGGAGTATTTACATTGCGTCTCCAATTGTGGAATTTGGAGCACTGACTTCTGGTAAAGGAATTGTGATTTGGGGCAGGAAGCACTATTCTGAAGAAATCAAAGCACACTGACACCTCTGCAGCCAGCTGCTACTGTCCTTGACCACAGTTCTCACTGGGTTTGGTTCCCTCTTTTGAAGTTTTGTAAAGCACTACAGTTCATTGCCAGTCTTTCCCCAAGCTCATTTTGACTCAGGCACAGCTGCAAGAAAAACTGTGAAAAAAAAAAAAGAAAAAACCAAAAACTAAGAAATAAAGAAAGAAAAAAGAAAAACTGTGAAGTGGCATAAAAAAGAACAGGACATGAAACCAACCAGAAACAACTAGGAGTATTCACCCATGTCCCCTCAGTGGGGACACTGGAGATTCCAGAGACCCTGGGAGGCTGTGAATGGAGCCCAGGGTAAAGGTGCTGATTTGTTCTTTTGTCCATGATTCTCAGGCGCCAGGCGCCAGGCTCCATCCACATGGCTTCCCACCAGTGCCCCCTGCCTTGGGCGTTCAGATTTTCCAGATCTCTTTCTCCAATATAATTAATTATTTTTGGAAAAACTGTGAAATTCAACAATCAATATATCAGAATGTTTCAGCTACAAAAGCATAAGATAACTAGACGTTAAGGGCTAACTCAGCACAGAAAACCCGCAGATCAGAGGGAGGTGATTCCAGGATTGGTACGGTGGTTCCGAGAGATCACTGAGGGCATGAGCACGTCCATAATCTCTTTCCGCCTTCTTCAGGGCTGCCCCTGTCTTCCCTCTTGGTAGCAAAATGGCTACAATGGCTCCAAGTTCCACGTGGCAATATCTCAAGCAGAAGGACAAGGAGCAGAGACCCAATCTGTGAGGAAAATATTTTCTAGAAGCTTCCAGCAGCTTCCCCTCAGGTCTCTTTGGCCAAAATTGGATCACAGGCAAAACTTTAGATCCATTACTAGACAAGGGGAGGGGACTGGTGAACAGACATGGTTCACATACTGTGCCAGGTAGATATCTGAACAAATGAAAACGTGGGGTTCTGTAAGCAAGAAAGGGAAAGGGAAGCCACTCTTGGGTGGGTTACCGACAGTGCCTGTCTCAGCCAGGGAGAATGCTTTCAGAAGCAAGAAACTAACACTGTGTCCGGTTGTTGTAAACAGGAAGGAAGTTTATTGAAAGGGACATATGGAGTGAGTCTGGAGGAAACAGGCAGGAAGACACAGGAAGCACAATAAATACCTCTGGGCCAGAACAGCCAGCTTGAATTCTTCATTACCCAGAAGAATTCTGGTGCCTCTGGGTTGTGTCACTTGTTCAAGATTAAAGTCCTGACAGAAGTGTGGTAGTGGCCCAGGGTGGGATTCACACCTATAACCTGGATACCTGGGTGCAGAGAGAAGGACTTGGCCTTTCCAGACCCCAAAGTGGCCACCAACCAAGACCTCATACCCCAGGAGATCCCCCTCCACTAGGAAAGAGCAGCTGGAGGCAGCACGGCTGAAACAGAGCCAGGCAACAGAGCCAGGCCGGCGAATATCGGGGATTTTTTTTTTTTTTAATTAAGCTGGGGACGGAATCCAGGGATGCTCTACCACGAGCTACATCCTCAGTCCTTTTTACTTTTTTTTCAAACAAAGTCTTGCTAAATTTCCCAGGCTGACCTTAAATTTGTGATCCTTCTGCTTCATCCTCCCCCCACACCCAGGCACTGGGATTACAGCTGTGTGCTACCTTACCTGGCTACTATGCAGAAATTTGAATTTTTTAAGCCTGTGGCTTGGAAAAAACAAAACACACAAACAGTATTTGGGGAGGCAGTGGTTGAGCTTATCTGTGTCCCCATGCTTAATTACCAAGAAGCAAGATCAAGGTCATGACTCTCTGCTTCATATCATTTTGCAAGTCTATTAACTTGTATAAATTTAACTTGATTACAACAGGAACATTTGTGTTATCAGCCAAATTTGCGGTGCGTTGAGCTGTTTCCAACTTCAAGAAATTTTAATAGATTTTTTTTAAGACAACATCAGAGGGAACATTGTCTCCAGAAACTACCTCCCAGGGGTGATCCTTGAGGGAGGCCCCCAGAAAGACACTGATGGGAGCAGTGTCAGATTTGGATATGGTTGAATGGGCTGGGCAAGGAGAAGCCAGTGTCTTGGATTCTGCAAGTTGTTTTATTCAAGCAAAACTTGAAAAAAAAAAAAAAACTTACCTGGTCATATACACCACTTCCGATTAAAATGAATCGAACGTATATTCACACATCAGTCCCATCAGCCTCGAACCCAGGGACCTATGGTGGGGCTGGTCCAGGGTGGTAGCTATAGGGATGAGGTAGTGCAGCGCATGGCCAGTTGTGTGCATGCGCACACACAGGGCACGCAGCGCAGGTGTGCAAGGCTACCCTCTTGGCAACGTGAGGGGAGACCCAAGCTGGTGCCAGGCCAGTGAGCCTTGAAAGCTCTAAGCTAGCTGCTCCTGACTTTAGAAAGAATAAAGACACAGTTTCTGTTGAGGTGGACTTTTAAAAAGCTTTATTTATTTTTATATGGTGCTGAGAATCCAACCCAGTGCTCACACATACTAGGCAAGCGCTCCACTGCTGAGCCCCAACCCCAGACCTTGAGGTGGGTTTTAATTGGTCCTAAGTGACATCTGTGATGGAGACTTCAGGGTAGAGCTCAAATCTTACACTTTTTGACAGCAAAAGTTCCTACCCTGAACCTCGAAGGAGCCATCATGTGAGAAATGTCAACTCCTCGCCTACAACTGTTACAATTCAAGCAGGTCATAAATGTAAGTTCCTTCCTTTGGTACACACCGAACAGTGGCAAAGAACCCAATAATGGCAATTATTGCACTGCCTAAAAAAATATCTGTTAGCTATAGCATCCACATAGTTTAATATTCACTATTTTAAATGAACAATGCATGAGAGGAAAGCAGTGTCAATACCTGGCCTATTTTTAAACTAGTGTAAACCCTAGTCATACCTTCCAATATTTGCTTTTTCAACCAAGTAGCAGTTGTTTTGGCCCTTGTGCTTCAAGAGATCCTGGTCTTTATTTTCAATTGTCTGTTGGGTCAATTCTGTTTACTAGGTGAGTGTTAATAAAAACTATATGAGCCAGATTTAGTCTTGTCTTTCATCTTGATTGGGTTAATTCCAGATGCTAAAATAATTCAGTCTACAATTCTTCTAGGAAAGGAAGAATTTGCCTTAATAAAATGTTTACTCAACTGAAACGCTGAGTTGTCAAATCTCCAGACTGGAAACTTCTCAAGGAAAGAACCTTATCTTCTTCCTGTCATGTAAACTTTCTAAGGTGCTTGGCAGCACTCTGTACCCTGTAGAGTACTGAGTCGCTTTTTGTTTGATGTTGCTGATGAGACCTAAAAAAAAAAAAAAAAAAAAAAACTCCCTAAAATTCTACTATTAAAATGTAGAAAAACTGAAAAAAAATTCTCTTATGAATTAAACTCATTCTTGAATAGTCACATCCAGTCACTATGAAATTTTAATCATCTTCTTTAAAACAACAACAAATTTTCCCATGTTATCAGGTCCACTTAATAACCCCCTAAGCCATTCCTGGAGGAATCTTCAGAGGCTCCTCCTTCCAAAAGAGGAATTGACCTTTGGTGATCAGACCACCAGGCTGGAGACAGCTCTGGAGCCTTGGACATGATGAAAAGGAAGTAGGAGGATGGGGAGGAGGCTGCCCTCTCCTTTCTGCCATCTGGTCCCTCTGTACCTCAGTCTCCTTCAGCCCAAATCTTCCTGCTGATCTCATACACCTTCACTCAGTGTGCCCACTGCATCCTCCCTCTTCCTCCCTGGCCAGATCACAGACTCTTCCTTGCCCAGGTGTGACAGCTGTGTTCATCTGCCTGCCAAACCCCACCTGGCCTCTGGAGCACCGTGCTCAGGATAACCTTTCCTGACAATCTGCCCCATTAGACCTTGAGCCCCATCTCTCTGTCCCACCATCACGGAGGCAAGGTGTTCCTTGCCCCTCAATCAATCCCCATTCTTCTTCCCTTGGTGGTTTCTTTCTCCCAGATCAAGGTTCACACTAGCTGCTTGTGTGATTTCAGGTGTGGTGTTTGGGGCACATAGAGGGGTTGGGAAGGTAAAAGTGGTCTATGCTCCATGCATGACATCCTTTCCACTGCTGAGATGATGACGCACCTCCTACAGAAATAACTGCCTTCATCCATTCAGGAGGGCACAGAACCCTCACAGCCTACTCACCTCCTACAGGTCCCACCTCTAAATATGGCTCCATTGGTGTTGATATTCGTGCATTTGCTGCAGAAATATGTGTTTGATTATGAGGTGCTGCTGCAGACCACCCTCGGGTGTTTATAGGCAAGCAAATGGGCATACCCACTCACACTCACATTCTCCCCCCCCCTCACCACCCCCACACACAAATAGTATTGCCTTTATAAAATCCAAAGAAATCTGAATTTGAAACATATTTGGCCCCAGGGTTTTGGATGAATATGGAGATCATATATCCTAGTTTGTTTAGGATTTATCCTTCAGTTTTTTGTTTTGGGTTTTTTTGGGGGGGGTTACTGGGGATTGAACTCAGGGGCACTGAACCACTGAGCCACATCCCCAGCCCTATCTTTTGTATTTTATTTAGAGACAGGGTCTCACTGAGTTGTTTAGTGCCTCGCTTTTTGCTGAGGCTGACTTTGAACTTGTGATCCTCCTGTCTCAGTCTCCCAGGCCCCTGGGATTACAGGCGAGCACCACCGCGCCCCACTACCCTTCAGTTTTGGTGAAATTACTGATAACCCTCCACCCACTTTCACTTTCAAAATTGAGCAGTTTAGATGACAAATTGTATGGTGAAAGTGGACAAGGGATTGTCCCCTTTGGTTCCTGTGGCTGAGCAATGACCCCCCGCCCCGTCCACCTTGACTCTGTTCTTCATGAAGCAGCAGCTTCATTCCAGCTGTGCTAGGTGGTCACGGGAAGCAGTGAGCACTAAATCAACCGGGGGCTGTTACTCTGAAACAGGAAAATGACTAACACATTCTGAAAGGTGACAGGCTTACAGGCTTTTCCTTCTTTATTTCTGGTGAATTTAAAAATAATTCTGGGGCAGGGGCTGCGGCTCAGCGGTAGAGTCCTCGCCTAGCACGTGCGAGGCCCTTGGTTCGATTCTCAGCGCCACATAAAAATAAATAAATAAGATAAAGTAATTGTGTTCAACTACAACTAAAAAATAAATATAAAAAAATAAAAATAGTTCTGGCTGATGCCTCTTTGCAGCCAAATCCCATCTGTCCTCTGTCCCTTTTCCATAGTAGAAGTAAGAATAAGGAAACAGCAGATGAGAACAAAGGCTTGGTCCTTCCTTCTTTCCTTCCTTCCTTCAATGGGACCTTGCTGTTGTCCAGGCTGGCCTCATGCTCATGGACTCCTGAAATCCAACTGCCTCCACCTCCCAAGTAGCAGACTTTGCAGGTGCACCACCATGCCTGGCTGATTTGAGGTTTCTTCATATTCCAAAGTCGGGGTCTCAACTCCTCAGAAATAGGTGCCGGTGTTTGCTAGAACAGGGCCAACCCTAAGCAACACTGTAGAAGGCCCCTTTCTGTTATCCCTGCCCCCTCTTATTCCCTCAGCATCCTTGCTTGATTTACCCTCTTTCTCTTTCCCACCAATCAGCAAACTGGTGTCCCAAACATGGATCATCACCACTTGAGAAAACACACTGCTGAGCTCTGACCCTAGGAGAGTGATTCAGGAAATTCTGCAGCCAGATCCAGGTATCTGTGTTTTTAACTACCCTGTTGATCCCCAAGAGCCAACTAGTTTTTGAAATACTGGCAGAGTGC